GTTTCCTGTCTAGAGAAGATCCTTTAGTATTTGTTGAAGAGCTGGTTTGGTGGTGCTGAATTCTCTCAGCTTTTGCTTGTCTGTAAAGCTTTTGAGTTCTCCTTCATATCTGAATGAGATCCTTGCTGGGTAGAGTAATCTAGGTTGTAGGTTATTCTCTTTCATTACTTTAAGTATGTCCTGCCATTCCCTTCTGGCCTGAAGAGTTTCTATTGAAAGGTCAGCTGTTATCCTTATGGGAATCCCTTTGTGTGTTATTTGTTGTTTCTCCCTTGCTGCTTTTAATATTTGTTTTTTGTGTTTGATCTTTGTTAATTTGACTAATATGTGTCTTGGTGTGTTTCGCCTTGGGTTTATCCTGTTTGGGACTCTCTAGGTTTCTTGGACCTGTGTAACTATTTCCTTCCCCATTTGGGGGAACTTTTCAGCTATTATCTCCTTGAGTATTTTCTCATGGTCTTTCTTTTTGTCTTCTTCTGGGACTTCTATGATTCGAATATTGGGGCGTTTTACATTGTCCCAGAGGTCCCTGATGTTGTCCTCATTTCTTTTTTCTTTTTTCCTCTCTGCTTCATTTATTTCACCCTTTTATCTTCTACTTCACTTATCCTATCTTCTGCCTCCATTATTCTACTGTTGGTTCCCTCCAGAGTGTTTTTTATCTCATTTATTGCATTATTCACTTTCAATTATCTTTTTTATTTCTTCTAGGTCCTTGTTAAACATTTCTTGCATCTTCTCAATCCTTGTCTCCAGGCTATTTATCTGTAACTCCATTTTGTTTTCAAGATTTTGGATCATTTTTATTATCATTATTCTAAATTCTTTTGTAGGTAGATTCCCTATCTCCTCCTCTTTTGTTTGGCTTGGTGGGCACTTTTCATGTTCCTTTACCTGCTGGGTATTTCTCTGCCTTTTCATCTTGTTTAGATTGCTGTGTTTGGAGCGGCCTTTCTGTATTCTGGTGGTCTGTGGTTCCTTTTTATTGTGGAGGTTTCTCCCAGCGGGTGGGGTTGGACAATTGTCTTGTCAAGGTTTCTTGATTAGGGAAGATTGCGTCCGTGTTCTGTTGCGTGGAACTGGATTTTTCTCTCTGGAGTGCAATGGAGTGTCCAGTAGTGAGTTTTGAGATGGGTGTATGTGTTAGGTGTGACGTTGGGCAGCCTGTATGTTGACACTCAGGGCTATGTTCCTGTGTTGCTGAAGAATTTACGTGGTATGACTTGCTCTGGAACTTATTGGCTCTTGGGTGGTGATTGGTTTCAGTGTAGGTATGGAGGCTTTTGGATGATCTCTTATTACTTAATGCTCTCTGTAGTCTGGAGTTCTCTGGTGTTCTCACGTTTTGGGCTTAAGTCTCCTGCCTCTGGCTTTCAGTTTTATTCTTCCAGGAGCCTCAAGACTTCTCC